TTTCAGAGCACGTGTATGAAATACATATATGCATGCGCACGCACACACATATATGAAAATAGGGGTATAAATTATACATAAATGTCAACAGCAGCCGGTCAAATGGCCCTAGAAATATCCCTTCCCAGTGGCATCTTTATACCCCCCTAAAGTCCTCTTAGGCCTTCAATGTATTGTATTATGGGAGCTGAACATTTCCTAGTTATCCTGCCTCTCCGGTAATATTTTGCCTGTTAAAAGGGCACAGAGTCGTGACCGTGTGTCGAACTCCAGGACGCGGGTAGATGACTGAAGGGAGCTTTGCATTAGTGCGTTCTAGAGACGGCTGCAATGCAAGGGTTACCGGCGCGACTGCTCCACCTCCGCAGAGGCAGCTATTGGACGCGCTCAGAACGGGGCTCAGAGAAGCGGGACTGGCGCTGCACCCCTAGCAGGAGGGCAGCCCAGACGCGCCCTTCGTAGAGAGATGCTGCGCTGTCCAACACACACGGGACAAGCCTCGCAAATGAACCGTCTAATAAGCTGTGACCCACGATTCCTCTGATCCAGACGCTAGGGAAGGACCTGTGGATTAGACAAATGGAACCACCAGTTGCACGTTTCCGTCCTGCCTCAGACCAGGTCTGTCATCAGCTCTTCAGAAAAGCCATGCTGGATCCGAGCAAAGCGCCACCCAGCCCTGCACCCCACACACACTGGGCAGGCCAGCTGCCCACAGGACCCCCAGCTGGATGTGCGCCAGGCCTCCCCCCCGCCCACCCACCCGCCCGCCCGCGCGCCTCAGCCACTGGCTCACCGATCAAAAGGAGCCACGGACGGGGCGGCTGGCTGCATGATCCAGCTCGGATGGGGCTTCCCACCCACCGGAAAGGCTGTGAGGGGCGGGGCAAAACCTCGATTTAACAAGGTTGGAGCGGTGCAAATTGCTCTCAGCTGCTCCAGGAAAGTTGGCATTTGGCATCAAAGCTGAGAATGACAAAAGCTCCTCATCAGCACTAAGCATTTGATCCCAAGTAAAAATCAACTTTGATAAGGAAAACACTGAGTGACAAGCTTAGACTGGGACTCAAATCCAGTGCGGTTGACATGCGGATGTGGGAAGGGGGCAGCTTCGGCACCTCTACCTTCGGCAAGAAAATGTCTAGGATTGGTTGGCATTTACCTCCATATGTTTCAGGTATGAATAGGTCAGAAACCCTGGTAAATGAAAAGCAGGGCAGGGGATGTGATTTTGGAAATCCCTTCCTGCTTCTCTAGCCTCCTGCAACTCCGCCCAAACAACTAGAGCATCTCCCCACCCTCTGAGGCAGCTTTAAAGCGTTCGGGGGACTCTCCAGAGAAGCCGGGATCTGGGAAAATCAAATACCCCATTCTGTTCAATCTTAATGCTTTCTATCCTTAAATGAAAACAGAGCAGGGACACAGGGCAGTTTTAGCCTAATCGCAAAGTGTCTGGTGAAGAATTGTTTTAAGGTTGCTCAGCAAACTAGATATTCATACCTTTTCTTTGATGTATATTAATGTAAGGGACAAACACCCCCCCGAAGCATCTTCTATGCATTTGAATGCTTTGTCTTCCCCGTCAAGGATCCCATTTGCACTAAGTTTTTCACCCACTAAAGTGCACGTCTGCAGTGTGTGTGAGACACGTACCCACGCATGTGCATGCCCCTTGACCCTCGCAAACCTATTCAGGCTTCTTCTGTGAGAATTGCTTTCTCAATAGGTGCATTTTTATCAATCCACCCTTAAGCCCATTACTATTGCGATGCAATCAACCCACAGTATTTCAGCCGAGGAATCTCACGGATTGTGTTGTGAGCTGAAGTGAAATTTCAGCTCTGCTTCAAGTGCCTTTTATGCTGGACACTTAAGTTGTTCCTCCTGCCAAGAGCCCGAAATGGAGTTAAATGACTCCATGGGAAGTGCTGACCGGGAAGAAGTCTGAGGAAAGCTACGTGCACATATTCTGCTTGGCCAGTTCGGCACTTGCATCCGAGTCGTCCTCGCAGCCGGGCCTTTCGCAACTGTGCTCACAAGCACAGGCTTGTTCCTGAGCAGGGCCTCACTCGTGTGTGTGCCCGGGGCGAAAGGGCCTTCGGGGAGTCAGGTGGGCTCTCCCGCCGTGGTCCTGCGTGTCCCACCGGATACACTGCCAGTGGTGCTCTGCCAAGTCACGAGTGGCAGGAGAGCCTGGGATGTGGGCTGGTCTCTGGACAGAACTGAAAGGTTTGCTGGGAACCTCAGATGAGGAGCTGCTGACGCAGGATGCCCCGGCCTGACCCAGAGCTACCACAGGAGAGGGTTCTCCTGGTGGGTCTTCCTCCTCCTCCTCTTCCTCCGAAGAAGTCTCTGTGTGTATTCTCTGATGTGAAGCAAGGGATTCCCTTCGACTGAAACTCTTTCCACACTCCGAGCATTTAAATGGCTTGTCCCCTGTGTGGATTCTTTGATGTAAAGAAACATACGCCCTCCGACTGAAGCGTTTGCCACACACCAAACAGCTATATGGTTTCTCTGCTGTGTGAGTTCTTTCATGTAATGTCAGAGACTGTCTCAGGCTGAAGTGCTTCCCACACTCCACACATCTGTATGGTTTCTCTCCCGTATGAGTCTTTTGATGCAAAGAGAGGTATGCCTTCCGACTGAAAGCCTTTCCGCACTCTGAGCACTTAAATGGCTTCTCCCCCGTGTGGGTGGTTTGATGCAACGTCAGAGATGGTCTCAGACTGAAGCTCTTCCCGCACTCCAAGCATTTAAATGGTTTCTCCCCTGTGTGGGTCCTTTGATGACAATTAAGGGCATTACTCTGGTAGAATCTCTTTCCACACACTAAGCACTGATAAGGTCTTTCTCCTGTGTGAGTTCTTTGATGGAAATTAAGAGTATGCTTCCGCTTGAAGCTCTTTCCACACTCCAGACACTTATGTAGTTTTTCACCAATGTGCATTACCCGATGCGTTCGAAGGGCACCATTCTCCCTAAAGCTTTTTCCACACTGCAGGCATTTAAAGGGTTTCTCTTTTGTGTGGGTGCTCTGATGACTAGTAAGGCTTTGCCTGTGGACAAATCTCTCTCCACACTCCAAACATTCAAATATTTTTTCTCCTGTGTGAATTCTTTGATGAGTAGCAAGATCATGCTTTCGGCTAAAGTTCTTTCCACACTCTGGGCATTTAAATGGGTTGTCTTCTTTGTGGATTATCTGGTGACGAGTAAGGCTTTGCCTGTGTATGAAGCGCCTTCCACACTGCAAACATTCAAACGGTTTCTCTCCTGTGTGAATTCTCTGATGTGATGCAAGACCGTCTTCCCGGCTGAAGCTTTTTCCACACTCTAAGCATTTAAAGGTGTTCTCTTTTGTGTGAATTATCTGATGACTAGTGAGGCTTCGCTTGTGCCCAAAGCTCTTTCCACACTGCAAACATTCAAATGGTTTCTCCCCTGTGTGAATTCTTTGATGTAAAGTAAGGGAATCTTTACGTTTGAAACACTTTCCACACTCCAGGCACTGAAATGGTTTTTCCCCTGTGTGAGTTCTTTGATGTACTTGAAGAGCACCACTCTGAGAAAATCTTCTTCCACATTCCAAACATGTAAATGGTTTCTCCCCTGAGTGTATTCTTTGATGGATAGTAAGTGCCCCCTTCTGACTAAAGGATTTCCCACATTCTGGACAGTTAAAAGGTTTCTCCCCTGTGTGTGTTCTTTGATGGGAGAGAAGGTCTGCACTCTGCTTGAAGCTTTTTCCACATTCAAGGCATTTATACCTTTTCTTTGCTGTGTGGGCTGGAGAACAGTCACCAGGGGATGATTTCTGAGCGAGCATTTTCCCACGCAGACGGCATTTCCGCTCTCTGTCCTCTCTGGCTGTTGCTTGTTGTACCATCATTGCATGGATTTATTTTTTCCTTGATTTCTTGGGTGCCACTCCAGTTTGTTCATCCCATCTTGATTCCCAAGATTCTCTGTCACATGCTGACACTCCCTGCTTTTCTCCAACACTTGGCCTTTCCTTTGCTTTCTTTCACTCATCCTTGGCTGAAACAAAAAGAGAGAGAGAGCATCAACTTAAAGAAGAAAGATATTAGAAAATAAACTTTGGTAGTCCTGGCTCCTTTGAAAATTTCCTAAACCTAATCAATGTTGATCTCCACAGCTAAAGGAGTGTTGATATGGAGTAGTGATTAAGGGTGCTGGACCAGGATTCAAGAGATCCAGGTTCTAGCCCCTGTTCAGCTATGAAACTCACTGGATGACTTTGGGCCAGTTGCTGCCTTTCAGCCTAACCTAGTACACAGGGTTGTTGTGAAGATAAAATGGATAGGAGAACCTTGTAAACTGTCTGGGTTCCTTGTAGGAGGAAGAAAGGCAGGGGATAAAGGCAATGCAACAACAATAACAATATAATCAGTGCTTTTTTTGTAAAAAGAAATGGTGCCGGAACTCATGTCGCCGCCGGCAGTAAGCACTCAGCACGCGCCCACACACACCAATCCCAAGCCGAGCAGCATCCCAAGCCGGGTGGCACGGACACACAAGCAGCCCGCAGGCACGATGTTAATGATGTTTGCTGCTGACCTGCTACGCCGACCGGCGATTCAAAATCACTTCGTAAAATCCATTAGAAAAGAAGGTGCCGGAACGCCATTCCGGTGCGTTCTATGACAAAAAAAGCCCTGAATATAATAATAGCAGCAGCAACAGCAGCAGCAGCAGGAGGTGGTGGTTGAGGAGGGGCAAAGAGAATGTAAGAGAAACCAGGAAGGCTGAAACCCCAGGAATGCTTATTTCGAATATTGTCAGAACATGGTTAAACATTTTAAGAAAGCAGGCTTGAAAAATAAATGACTGCAAAGGGGCCTTCAGGAAGGCAACCTCTACTTCAGTTGGGCTGAGCACAGATGTGAGAGTGGCTCTGGCTATTGCAGAGAAAATCAACCACCTTTCCGAGGCTGCATTCATTTCCATTCAGTGAAGTGGCTGCTGCCTCCAGGCAATTCACTGCAAGAGTTCCTGCCTCTTTGGCTCCACAGGGAAAGTTTTGGAACAAGGAAGAAAAGCAGCCCTCAGCTTTATGAGGCCCGGATTTAGGCAAGGCAACCATTCACACGGTTCTACCATGCACTCACCCCACCGCCTGTTTCCCTAGCAAGTCCTGCACCCAACTTCCTGCTCCCTGACCAACTGATCCAAGATCAAGCAAAGGTTTTCCACTGGTATTGATATCAGGAAGAGGAGAATTATGCCTACGGTGTGAAGGATGGTAGGAAAAGAAGTTCACTGCATACATGCAGACTTCAGAGGTAAATGTTATTATATATTTTGAATATTTTTCTACATTTGTATGGAAGAAGACTTTTACCTTGCAGGCAAGCCTTTCTAAATAACCAAAACAAGATGTTAATGTTATGGTAGTGCAATGTCCCAGTTTGCTGCGGTACAGTTCCACCAGTGCTCAGATCCCAGAGCATGCCCAGAACTGCCGACAGACAGAGCCCGCAGGCATCATATCCCAGATTTAAGGCCTGGAATCTCCTGTGTAAAGTGCCTCTGGTGTAGGGCTGAAAAATACCGGTGCTTCACTTACAGAAATCACTTACAGAAAGGATGACAGCAGGCTTTCCTGGTTTGAGTAAACGCATTCATCTTATTCTGAGCGGTTTTTAAAAAACTAAATGGCTGGGATTAAAACAGAGGAGGTAGACACGCCAATAGCGTGTTTTCTGTCCAGTGTAAACTCCTCAACACATCACTTCACTTCTGTACTGCCCAACAGATGGAGCTCTCCGTATTAAAAACAGCTGAAGAACAAGAGGCATCCAGCAGCAGCCCTAAAAGCAGTCCAGTGGGGTTATATTTTATTTATTTATTTATTTATTTATTAAGACATTTTTATGCTGCCCCATTCGCCGAAGCCTCGGGGCGGCTTACAACAATAAATTAGATCCACATAAATAAAAATATATACATTAGAATAGTACACACACACACACACACACACACACAATATAAAATAAGCCGCCCTGGCCAGATAAAATTCAATAGTATTAACATTTAAAATGCTGCTTAAATAAAAAGGTCTTCGCCTGGCGCCGAAAAACAAATAACGACGGCGCCCATTGTTACACGATAGCCTTCTCTATCCGTCTGGCAGGAAATGTTTGGCCAGGCATCCTGGGAGAGGGAGCTGCACAGGGGCACGGACAAGAAAGCCTTACTTCTCATTACCACCCCCTAACCCGCCCCACCCAATCTAGGCACAGATACAGGCAAGAGGAGGAGCGGAAACGCTCATCCACGAGAGCATGGGTCCTCAGACTAAGGCCTGCGGGACGGATCTGGCCCACCAGGGCCATCCATCCATCCGGCCCGCGCCGCCACTCACTGCCCGCGCGTGCTCGCTGCGTGGGCGGGGAGGTGGTGGCTCGCTCACTTGGGGATGGTCTCCGAGCGAGCGAGCGAGCGAGCGAGCCGCCACTGCCGGCCTCCCGTATGCGCACGCTCACCGCTGCCTTGCAGCGCAGGCAGGGATGTGGGGGCTTGCTTGCTTGGAGGTGGATTTGGGCTCGCTGGGAGACCTCCGAGCGAGTGCAAGCGCCCGATGCCACCTCGCGCACAGCCCCGGGCAACCCCACCTCACCAGCCCTTGAGGGTCACGGCAGCCTTTCAACTGGCCCCCTATTCAAAACGTTTGAGGACCCCTGCACTAGAGGCTAGAACCATGTGAGAAGAATTTAGGAGACTCCATTAGAAGCAGGGGGCAGCATATAACTGCAGAAATAAATAAATAAAAAAGACTTTGTTCTTCAGACAGCCTTGTTCAGAGCTCTGAATGTAGCTGGCATTTTGATTTGAGCTTGGAAACAAGCCAAAAGCCGGAAGCTCAGAAGTACTGCGCATGCTTTTCACGAAGCAAGTCTAGGTTTGATCCCTGGCAGAGGGTAACTGGACATTTTTGCAGGTGAATGAACAATCTCAAAACTCCACTGAGCTGCAGAGCATGGGCCATAAAAATGTGCCAGCTGGCTGAGGGAGCAGAAGATTTTTAGGTCTGCTTGAGTCGCATTATGTATCTAAGGACCTACATGTCAGTGTCCCCTGGACAAGCAGCTCTTCTTCCATTCCTTCAAGCCAGGAGATGAGATCAGATTTGGGCATCAGAGGCCCTACTGTGTGGAAGAACAGAAGGGGAATATTATTTATAGCAGTTAAGACTGGAAAAAAATCAGAAATGCTGAATAGAGAGAAGGCAAGATGTTTCAAAACAGGAAAGCCCCAGGTGGGGAAGGGAGAGTGTACTCCTCCAGGGACACGTCTGGTGGCTGCTGCTTTTCCAGACAGAACTGATACCAGATGGGAATGACGTGATGGATGAGACTCCAGCTTTGATTCCCTCACAGCCCTCACCCAGTCCAGGAAAGGGAAGGCTTACCCTAGAAAGAAAGAAGCCTCCACTTAGACCATCCCACCCAAGGAGATGCCCCTCTTACGGGCCAGGCACGGGAACGATCCTACCATTAGGGGCTCCCCTCTCCCTGCAGTCTTACCAGGCCAGGAGAAAAACAGCACAGAATCTAGCCAGAGAGGCCCAGGCAGGCCTACCAGCCACATCCTTCCCCTCTGGTCACATCTTTACTGGCAAGTAGTGGAAATAACAGGGGCAAGCCTTTCAGCTTGTAAAAGGTTTCCTCACCGAGAGGCCAAGTGCCTCTGATTCTCCATCATGACTTCGTCGCTTTGCCCCAGATCCAGCTGAATCCACTTCTTCTTGGGTAAGCCCAAGGAAACTCCTCAAAGGACTCTGGGAACAGAAAAGGAAGAAAAGTGTATTTCTTATGATAAAAATAGATTTATGTCATTGTTGGCACAATTTATTTATTTATTAAGTAAAACATTTCTATGCCGCCCCATTCGCCGAAGCCTCGGGGCGGCTCACAACGTAAAGTTAAAATACAAAAAATAACAATATAAAATAAGTCGCCCTGGCCAGATAAAATAAGCAAATAATATTAACAATTAAAATGACACTTAAATAAAAAGGTCTTCGCCTGGTGCCGAAAAACAAATAACGACGGCGCCAGGCGGACCTCTCTGGGGAGCGCATTCCATAGATAGGGCGCCACCGCAGAGAAAGCCCTCCTCCGAGTACCTACCCTCCTAATTTCTTTCACGGAGGGTTCCCGGAGAAGGGCCTCTCCCGCAGATCTCAAGGGGCGGGCGGGCATAT